ACCCCTAACTTTCTAAAAAAGTAAAATCATTGTATTTTAAATGGAATGACTATTGTAATATCTTTAGAATTTTTAAAATAGAATGCTTTTTTAGCTCCGTCAAAATCACATTAGCTTTGAAAAAATTAATCATAGGTTTTAATATTATACTCGTATTTAATTAAAAATATTTATTTTATTTTATTTTATTTTACTAAAAAATGATACTTCATTCTATATATCAAAATAAACTAGTTGTGTATTCGTCTAGTTAGATTTCTCATCATCTTTTAGATGAACATATAGTGATGGAGGGAGTATCTTCTCCCTTATTGAATTTTTCATTTCATCATATTTCACACTCTCTCCGCCCCATAACAAATTTAATCTATTTATTTTCAATCTAATTTAATTGAATAAAAAATAAATTTTAAAATAATAGTTAAGGAGTATATTTAAAAACTATATCAAATACTCTATAAAATAATAGGTGATATTTCTAAGTTATTTTTACAAATATGGAGTAATTAACTAAACTTAGTGAAGAAAGAAAAAGATTTCATGCACAAATTATGCACTAAGACTTATAATTTTGATGCACATGGAATATGAATTTCAACTACTTCAATTACGGAGTATGTTAAACTTTACTGGAACATTTGGCTGAAATTTCAATAAAATAATATTGAAAACTTTACTTTACTGGAAAATTTTAAATATTATTGAAAACTTTACAGAAATTTTAGCAAAACATAGACAGAAATGTCCCATAAATAAACTAATGTAAGAATATTAAATTAGATCTACCAAAAATTTCGCCAAATTTTGAAAATCTATATTCAAATTTAAGATATTGTTACAGAAAAATTATATTTATGATAATATTTTCCGAAATTGCAGTGAAATGTTTCTTCAAAATGTAAATCACCAACCCACAAATGACACAATCGATGCATTTATTTCATTTCAAAAGTCTAATTCTATTTATTTAAATGTTTAAGTGAAATTTAAAATAAAATAGTATAATTTTAAAAATTATCCTTAAAAAAAGACGTCAAGTGTAACAATTGAACAAAAAAAGATATAATTGGGTAGCTCGATGTATAAGACTTTTGATTTGATTCAATTACTGGACAATTTTTTATTTACAGTTTTTAGATAATTTATGATCTAATTTACATAATTTTTAATATATTATGATTTGATATTTTTAACTATATTATGAAATAAAATACCCCGGAGTAGATTAGAATAAAACGTGTCACCATAATTTACAGTGTTTAGACTAGCTTTTTTTTCAATTTCTCCATCATTGAGTTATTTTAATTATGGAAAAGAGATCTTTGTATTCTCACCTATTTATAACTCCGTACTTTTTACTTATCTATAAAAAAAAATTTAATAAATAAATAAGATAATCTCTTTATCGCAAAATGAATTTCATATTTAGACTATTTCTTAAATGATTAATTATTTTAATCAAATTAATTACAAAAAATCAACTTGATTTTGAAAGTATAGAGTATTATGGAAGAGTATAGGAATCCGACATAGGTGAAATTTTTTTAGTGTTATACACTCATTTACAACTTACTACCTTTTTACATATACTTTTCTTAACCTAATGAAATATTTTAAACATGCAATCTAGAAGCGTGAATAATAGCTTAAAGTACAATGTGAAATTTTCATCTTTATGACACACACACATATGTATGTATGTATATGCATGAATGTATGTATGTATGTATGTATGTATGCATGCATGCATGTGTGTATGCATATACTTTTGTAATTTTATATTTTTTTCTCTTCATTTAAAAATGAACTAAACTTTCAAATAATAAATAAGATACTCACCTCACCTCTAAATAATAATTATATTTGTTTGTGATATGTTTAAATAAATTTAGTTTAAATTCATTTTATTTAAATATTTATGTAAAGTTTAAAAACTATATAAAACTCAAAAAAAGAGGCAACTCAACTATAAAATCGTGTTAAAATAGAAAAAAAATTAGATATATAATTTTATAGTTCGAGTATATTGATTTTATGCTTTGAGTTAATTACTAGACAATTCATGATTTTATTTATATCATTTTTAATTATCTATTATGATATGATATTATAAACTTTTATTATATACCCGTAGTAATACATTCTCTACGATTTCACCATCATTGAGTAATTTGTTTTATCAAATCTTTGAATAAATTTAATTATACAACAGATCTTCGTTTTTATGATAAGAATCTTTTATAGTTTTATTTTTTTTTCATTCATAATAAAATTTTCAATTAATAAATAAACCCCTCTTTTCATCTCTAAAAAAATTTCATATTGGAACTATTTTGTTAAATAATCAAATATTTAAATCAAATACATTTTAAAAAACTAATTTGACTTTGTGCATATTATAGTGAAGTTGAGCTTTGGCATTACACTTGGTAATTTAACTTAATTTTGTTTAATCATGTGGTTAAGTATGTATGGTAATTAACTACCAATCTTTAATTTCTAAGGTGTAATTTAGTATTTATTAATTTATGTTCAATAATAATTTAAATATTGATGCATGAAAATAAAAAAAATTAAATTGAAAACTCTACAGGAGTGTATTCTTAGTGACAAAGAGACAAAACATATTTACGAAAAAATATTGTGATAAGGAAGATCAATGTGCGGAGATTAATGCAAGGAGACCTAACAAGAGAGGTTTAGGGAAAAAAATCAATTAGGCAAGGAATAGTGAGGAGATGATCCAAATTGCAGAAGCAAAGAAGATCGAGACTTATCGAAAACATCATATTGCACTCTTGATAGAAATAACAGAGGATGAACGTTGCGAAGTAGCATTGAAGAATCAACAACCGAAGAACGAGAATTAGAACTTGATAGTTTAACGAATCGCGAAGACGCTTTCAGATCAAAGTTATTTCAGAGTATACCAAAATACTTTAATCGGATAAAACGTTAATCAAGAACAAGCCTATCAAAATCCCACTCACAATTATACCCTGATACCTGTGCGTCTCTGTCTATAGAGACAAAGATTCGCTGATCAGAAATGATTTTTTTGCGTAAATTTGCAAACTTTCGCGTGATAGGGACAGATGCAAACTTTGACATATTTGGATGCAAAGGTTCGCAAAGTTTAGTCAAATTTGATCTTTATCCAAAGTCTGAATGTTTCTAATAGTTCGACCTCGGCCAGGGGCTCCCTGCCATGAATTTGTAATATCGTTGAACGAGTGTGAACTTCGCACCTCCTAACCCGTTTGACAATATCTATTTGGATTTTTGTCTGATCTAAGTAAACTCAATCACACTGCAACAACACACTGTCACTGGAGCGTCGGCAGAGTGTTGTTGCCGATCGTTGACATTTATCGCCGTTGACTTGTAATCCACCACCACACTCCCACCATTGACTTTGGTATATTTTCATCACACTCGCATCAGCTACATTGTACAACTCCAATTTAGGCGATAAAAACGATATCACTTCTATTTTGTTGAACATTTTTTTTTACTTTTATCGGTATCTGATGCTTATCGTATGCTGAATACATACTCCCTCCGTCCCCAATTTGATTACAAATTGTGGGTTACCGAGTAAAATTTTCTACTTTTTGAAATCATTTTATTTACAAAATGGTATATCAATAAGATATAAAAATTACATATTAAAAAACTACGTTAAAAGTTCTACAAAACAAGAGGTGACAAGAATATTTTATTTTATCAAATATTTAATGAAATCGTGTAAACAAACAAAAGTTATCGAGAGGAAAAAGAAAAAAAAATTGTAATCTATTTAGGTACAGAGGAAGTATGTGATTTGAATACAGTTGGCTTCTAGGTTGTAACTTTTTGTATTTTGTTAAAAATCTTTGTATCGATCAGAATACTTGTGTGGATTTGGATGATTTTGTATTTAAACAAAAAACAAACTAATTAAATACTCTAACAAATTTCTGAATTTATAATAATACTCCAAAAATCAATTAATTACATCATTACTCTCATAATTGCTCTGTTTAAAAAAACACTCCACCCACCATCTCACAATCATATTGTGTAATCTCTACATGAATTTTTAAAGTCATTATTTGAAAAATAAATTACTTTTTTAGTTTTCATAAAAAAAAAATAAATTACATACTCTCCCTCCAACTCAAATATTAGTTTTCTTACATATTTATTTGGGTGATTACTTAATTAAGAGATTATTTTAACTATACTTTTTCTAACTTCTTCTCATTTATTCCAACATTTAATATTATAATTCAAACTGAAAAGAACAACCCCTAATTATGAGACATGTGATTGACATTTGAGGTCAAGGAGGAATACGTGATTTAATTATTATTTTTTACGAAAACTAAAACATCTGCTTTATTTTTCAAATCATCACTTTAAAAATCCATTTAGATATTACACGATATGATTGTGCAAGACAGGCGGCGGGTGAAGTGTTTGTTTTTATAAAAAAGAGAACAATTGTGGGAGTAATGATGTAAATAATTAATTTGCAGGGTATTCTTATAGAACCGGAGATTTGTCGGAATAGTATTGTAAATTTTTCCTAAGTAAAAATCTTATAAAAAAAGCTTTTGATATCTTTTTTTCCGTGAATTGTTCAATAAAGAGCTCCTCATAGGACTATAAATACCCCTCAATGCATGATATATCTTTCACTATCCTTCAAACACATATACTTGTATTAGTAGAGAGTGAGTGAGTGACAAAGTAGTTGAAACTCCATTATATTATTATTGTTGTTATTATTATTATTAAAAACAGAGAAAGAAATGGCTTGTTTGCCCATTATTAACCTCGAGAAACTTAACACTCAAGAAAGGGCTGCCACTATGGCACAAATTCACGATGCTTGCCAAAACTTTGGATTCTTTGAGGTTTTTTTATCTCTTTCTTTTACAAAATGAAGCTTTTAAACATCATATTTTTATACTAAGGGTAATATATATCTACATATAATAATAATAGTCAAAATGTTATATTTTGTCTTCATCCTTGTTATAGGTGGTGGATCATGGGATATCAGTTGAGCTCAACCTGTCTCACCTCTTCAACTGTTTTCTCGTGATGTTCTTCTCATACCTCCTTTCCAAGTTCCTTTACCACCGGAGTTCCCCTGAACTACGACAAGTCTTACTCTAGTTACTAGAACTGACCCTCAGTTGGAAGAAGAACTTCGTAGAGGGAAGGAGATACATCTCCCAAGTCCCAGACCTTGAAGATGACTACAGGAGGGTAATGAAGGAATTCGCAGACGAGTTGGAGAAGCTGGCTGAGAAACTGCTGGATTTGCTGTGTGAGAATCTGGGGCTGGAGAAAGGGTACCTGAAGAAGGCCTTCTATGGGTCAAAGGGTCCTAACTTTGGCACCAAGGTCAGCAGCTACCCTCCTTGCCCCAACCCAGACCTCATCAAGGGCCTCCGGGCCCACACCGATGCCGGAGGCATCATCCTCCTCTTCCAGGACGACAAAGTCAGCGGCCTCCAGCTCCTCAAGGATGACCAGTGGATCGACGTTCCTCCCATGCACCACTCCATTGTCATTAACCTCGGCGACCAGATCGAGGTAATTAAAACGACATACTCAACCAAAAATCTAAAGTTGTGGGATTAAAAAAGATTCTTATATTCTGACGACGTGTTTTCACTTTTCAGGTGATCACAAATGGGAAGTACAAGAGCGTGATGCACAGAGTGATAGCCCAGACGGACGGGAACAGGATGTCGATCGCCTCGTTCTACAACCCAGGGAATGACGCCGTGATCTATCCGGCGCCTGCGCTGGTGGAGAAGGAAGCGGAGGAGAACAAGGGGAAGTATCCCAAGTTCGTGTTCGATGAGTACATGAAGCTCTATGCTGGGCTTAAGTTCCAGGCCAAGGAGCCCAGGTTCGAAGCCATGAAGGCCCTTCAGAGCTCTGTTTGATGCTACCTTTTAGTAGCTATAAATGTGTGCTGAGAAGATTTTCGAAGAATAATAAGAACTATCATGATGATGATGATAGTAGAGTCTTATGTGATGGTACTACTGATTTAAGTGTCTGCTAAGGTTGTGTGTTGGTTATGTCGTGTTGTGTCTGTGTCTGTTTTTTTTTTCATGTGTTTTTTGAGAATTCCAAGTATTTCTTTTGTTTCATCTTACTCCTATTCCCGAGTTTATTTGTATTGAAATTTGAAAGAAAGAAAATGAGTTTCATGAATAAGCTCTTACCCTGCTCTGCTCATCCTTGTTATTTCACAGAATAAGCCACGCAGCCAAACACTTCTTATTACTACCTGAAACAAAGAAGAACATCATGTTCATATAGAACAAGCTGGCATCTATTACATATCACAAAAAACACAAAACTATTGTCTGGTTGACATTTTATTGCCCACAGTTCAAACTTGTGACCACACAATAAATAAAATGTGAAGCCAATTTGCTACTTGAATACGAAAAATAAAATAAATTGTTCCTCATTCCTTGAAACAAAATAATGTAAAAATACCCTACGGTTGATCGGCATCATCAATGTCATCATCATCTTCTTCTTAATCAGTTACTTTCCCAGGTTCCTTCGCAGCAGCTGCTTCTTGATTGGAGCAATGATTTTTCAGAACGGTCGCGATATCAGATTCAGAAGCGCCTGCAAGCTTAAACCTCTCAACTCCAGTGTCACGGTTCTTCTCCCAACCATCCAAACCCAACTTACACTCGATCTGAGACCGCTCAAAAAGCATATTACCCCAAAACAGATGTATTTGGGATCTCATTAAGGCAGTTTGTTCTGCTGCTTCTTCTGCCGAGATCTCAGTTTCAGTATCAGGAATGCCATTTCCTTGCTTCTTTCTTCTTCTTAGCACTTCATCTTTCTTGCTTCTGTCAGGATCCTTCAACTCTTTAGCTCTCTGTTCTTCATGCTTCTCCCACATTTCTGTTGCAACGTTCATTTTCTCCTCCGCGATGTCGAAAAGCTTGAACGTCTCGGTTGGGTCCCACTTCGACAGGTCCTCCTTCTTGGCCAAAATGAATGACCATTGGAGCTTTGCCATTTCAAACTGTTGCTGTCCTATTGCCAATAAACCCTCGTAGAAGTCGGGTTTGATCAGAAGGGCCTTCTCGTACTTTGTTTTGGCCAGAGAGTATTTGTCCCTCACCCAGTCATAAGCAGACTGAAGCTGTGAGGCCAATAGCTCCTTTGACCCAGGATCTTCGATGGGTATGCGTTTCCTTGCAGCACACATGTAAACATTTCCCCAGTTGAAGAAAGCCAGTGCTGCCACTTCTTGAAACTTTAAAGCTGCTTTGTCAAACAGAGCTTGAGCCTCTTCACTGGTGACTGTTTCCTCAAGTGCTTCTGAGCAAATCTCCATTCCTAGCTCGTGCAGATCAATATGGGCATCCGGGTCGATGCCAACGTGGGTCCTGAACAACTGTGCAAACTCAAACAACCAATCATCCATCTCCACTTCCTTTGTCTCCGGATCTCCTGAAGTTCCAGATTTCTCCTTGTCGGTGACATCATTTTCTGTTTTGGTGATGTCACTTTCAACAACAGTATCACTTTCGACAGGCTTCTCCTCTTCTACTTCTTCTTCCAATAGAGGTGGCTCTTGTTCAGGGCTCACTTCAACAATGTGCAGTTTCAGAGTCCCAACAGGGTCAACCACACTGGACTCAGATAATCTCAGCTCGGCTGTGGATGTGATCGTGACCAAATCACCGTCACCGTCCTTGTACTTGACAAGAACCGATTTTGACATTGGGAAGCGTTTGGTAACAATGTCTCTCAACTCTCTGAAACTGCAATTTTGAGGCATTTGTGCAAGACGTATGTCGTGATCATAGACAAGCTTCAGTGGCCTCCAACAAATCACAGCTGCTGGCTTTGACTGAACACTAGTCATCATTGCATGTTCCTTTTGGTCATCTTTGACTGGATCAATGCTAGGCTTGGGAGAACCACTTGAAGGCTTTAAGACAACCACAGGCAATTGCACCTTAGCTTGATGGCCATTGTCAATAATTGGCTTAACCGGATGATGCTTAATATTATTATTAGGTGGCAGTGAGGAAGTCCCAACTGAAGGTGGCTGCTTCTTAGGCCCGGGTCGAGCAGGCAGACATGGGCTAAGGCCCGCAATTGGAGCCGAGCCCACAGCAGATGCACCTAAGGCAGCTGGTGACGGATGGCTCTGAAGATCCTGTTGGGCCTCTGGACGAGGAGGCCCAAGAGCTGTCCTCAACCGCCCAGCAATATCCAGAGCATCTTGGTGACTCGGATCGGCATTCAACAGCATCTGCACATCCCGCATAGCCATATCATACTTCCCAACAGCCTCATAAGCACGGGCTCTTCTGAGAAGGGCGCGGACGAATTGGGGCTGAACCTGGAGGGCCATCGAACACTCATGAATCACAGCGTCATAATCTATGGGCCTCATCTGCATCAAACAAGCAGCCCTGTTGCTATGAAACACAGCTATGTCAGGGTGGGTTTTCGGGGTGAGTTTGAGGGCATTCTCATACTGCTGAAGGGCGCCCACGTAGTCTTTCGCCTGAAACCTACTGTTCCCCTCTTCTTTGAGCTCCAGAGCCCTTTTCAACAAATTTGAAGAGTCCACTTCAAAACTTCCATTAGCAACGGGAGTTTGCCCATTTTTCACTCCAGTTCCCTGGTTCTGGGTAGCACCGCCCTTCTTTTTCTTCCCACCAGATTTCCCCATATAAACCCTTCGAAACTACCCAAGATTCCAACTTTATTGGGAATATATGAGCAAATGAGTTCTAGGAATTCTTGAAATAGAAGAGTACGCTTAACTGGGCAAGTAAAACAAATATTGAAAATTGAATTTAGTTTCACAAAATTATAGGGAAGCTGTAGAAAGATAGAGGAAGAAGAGCTTTTACTTACGCGTTTCGGAGATTGGCGCAGAATCGAACCGTTTGTGATTGGAATGTGAAGAGCTTGAAGATGGATTGAGAAGAATGAAGGGTTGGACGGAAGCCGGCGGAAGGGAGAGTGACTGTGAGCGTGCTTTGCGAAAATGGGGATTTGGTATTTGAAACCCTAGAACCTATGGAGTAGACGCCAACACTCCACTCTTTAAGTTTTAAATCTTTTGATCACGGAAAAAATATATTCTAAAATTATTTCAAAATTATATTTTAAAATAAACCAATCTTATTAAATTTAAACTATAATTAAATATACTTTTCCATAAAATTTAATCAAATAGTCAAACTATGGAAATAGGACATACTCACATACTACCTCCTGACCTCCATGGCTCCATTCCGACAAAATTGTTTTCAGTTTGTACTTTTTTATCAAGTTAAAACATAATTTGAATAACATTCATAAAAAAAACATAATTTGAATAAATTAAATAGAGTAAATTTCATAAAAGGTCCTTACTTATAGATCGTTTTACATATTTAGTCTCTACATATCAAATATTATTAATTTAGTCTCCAATTATTATATTCATTTCCACGAATGGTTTTTTGTTAACATTTCAGTTAAGATTGTGGATAAAATTGTAAATTTACACTCTTTTCTCTTCTCAATTAAGCTTCCACCCTCCCCTCGCACTCCTTTCACAAACCCATCGCTGAGTTTGAAGTTTTTGAACCCAAAATCGAATTCATCACTCTTCTCTCAATTGTTTGTCTAACTGGTGGAACCCAAATTCGAAATCAGTAACCTTCATGGATGAGTTTTAATGTTTATTTTCTTTGCAATTTTTGAGACTAACCGATAAAACTCATACATAAAACTTATTGGTTTGATTTTAGGTTCCACCAGGAAGACTAAACATGAGAGAGAAATGGTCATTTCAATTTTGGGTTTAGAGCTTCAAACTCAGCGACAAGTTTGAGAAAGAGTACGAGAGGAGGAAGGAAACTTAATTGAGGAGAGAGAGAAGTATATAATAATAATAATATCAATTTTATCCATGTTCTTAACAAAAACGTTAATAAAAGACCATTTGTGAAATATGATACTCCGTATAATAATTGGGGACTAAATTAGTAACATTTGATATGTAAAGACTGAATATGTGCAACGACCTATAACTGAGAACCTTTTATGGAATTTACTCAAATAAATATAATAAAATTTGATATGTCAAAACTATATCCTAAGATAAACTCAATTATATTGAATTTATGTTAATATTAAATATACTATTTTCACAATTTTATGAGTGTATAGTATCATTATTTGACTCAAAAAATCAAAACCAAAACGATTTCCTGTGACGAATGTAATAAATATACTCTTCTTGTGTATTAAAAGTATGAATACAGCTGTGGTTTTTCTTCTTGCTCTACTTACACTGGAGAAGATGATGCTAATCTATGTATAGATCGTATACTACTACTACTACTACAGTACTGACTAATCTCATGTTGTCAGATAACATTCGATTCGACTCCCGATGAACTTGTGGAGGGAATCAATCAGCAACGGATTTCTGGATGCAGTCGAGGATGCCTTCACAATCACGGCGGTGGTGGGAGGAGACGACGTCGCACTCCTCTGAAAATGAGTGTGGGGACCGAATGCTCCCGTGCCTCTGACACGCTTTCATAGTCTTGCAATGCTCCGCTTCGTCATCTCTCACGTTCACAAATACATCGTACAAGTTTTCTGCACACACACACACACACACCTTCAACAATATATAGGTGGGAAAAAATACAATTTTAACACCGGAGTTTGACACCATGGATGACATCACTAGTGTGTCTAACAGTCATGCTGCAGATATATATACAATGACTGAAGTAGTTCACACCCCCTAACTCCCCTCATACCCCCCCCCCCCATCAGGCTAGGTGGGTTTATAGGTTAAGGTTAGCGGGAGTAGGAACTACTTCGGCGTCAAACAAGGAAGCATAAGGCTCCCAAATGGANGGACCGGTGTCATAATCAAGAATCCCACTCTTCTTCACGTGATCATTTGCCCATTTGTGTGTGTCGGTGTGGGCGCGGGCGATACAAAATGAGGTAAACAGTGGGCAAAGCTTACCTATTTTTGGTCTTCGAGTATTGGGCACCCTTGAAGTTTGGAATTCATCTGATGCAAAATTTTGAAGAGCCTTTCATATAGTAATAACACTTTGGAAGGAAATTTCTTATTTTTCTACCATGGTCAAACTTATTTGAATGTGATTGGTATAATCATCTGCCGATAATATCAGAAAAGTAAACGTAAACTTACTACTCACCAAACAAATACAAATCGCCTTCAGTGTAGTATCTCACAGCAACTTCTGGTGCAGGAAGTTTCCTCAACTCATCTGCAAAAAAAATATATATTATGAATTAAAATATAAAAATTTTACTCAGATCTTTGTATGGAATGGAAAAGTATATCCATTATATTATCTCTTTATGATTTTGCTAATAATGTTAGAAATAGCATTGGTCAAAAGTTCAACGAGGAAACCACAACGGACACTTAATATGGAATGGAATGAAAAGAGTTGCATATTCTGGGGAAATGGGAATAAGCTTGCAAATTGCAATGGTCATTAAAGAAATGCATACCTCCATGAGATTTGACAAATTTATCATAAGTTTCAAATGCATGGCTCTCCACGCATTCTGAGAAATGATCTGTGATTGAGAAAGTAAAAAATAGATAAATGGATTCGTACCATTATGCAAGCATCTGCTGAGAGAGTGGGAGAATTTTGCTAGTCGAAGAGCAAGTAAAACATTGTATAGACCAATATTCATACTCACATGCCATTCTTGGGCTCAGGGCATACATGAAAACTGTCATGAGATAGTAGAAAATTGCAATGTGTTGAGCAAGAAACCGGTCGAACCACCAAGCATTTCCACCCAATTCCTGCAATATATAGGACCACCCCATAAAGCATTACAACTTTAAAATTTCCTACTTCTCCAAACACATGGGAAGCAACCGTTAAGTGATTTACATATATTCCCTTCGTCTTGATGTATTTACCCAGTTTTCTTGTTTGGGCCGTCCTGTTGTATTTGTCCACTTTCCTTTTAAGGTAATACTCCACTTTACTCTACAGGCTTATTTGACCCTTTTGCCCCTTTTATATTCAACTTCACTTTTACAACACCTAACCAACCCTTACCCTCAGCTAAAAACCGCATAATGGGCAAAGTATGCTTTTCCTCCTCGGTCCAAGAGTCCAAAAAACTGGACATAAACATTGGGACAGAAGAAGTATATTAAGTAGTGATGCTGGGAAAGATGTTATACTTCCATTATGAGGAGATGGTGCATCTCATTCCAGCTTTCAGCAAAGTGAACTTTCAAATAGTCGGCTCTTCTCCACCAACCAAAGCTTTCATACATGTGCAGAACAGACATGAATGCTGCCACAAATCATGGAATCATTAGAGGTTTAAAACCATGATGGTGAAAAATAAGCATCCTATCCAGCTATCTCTAAAGATGTGAGAATAATCTTACCAAAATAAGGAACTCTTGCGATAGTTTCAAGAACGAAAAACCTTGCATAGTGTCTGTCACTGTACAGGCTGTCAAGCAGTTTTATCACTGTATCCTGAGATGATAGAGAGTAGTAAATTCATCAAAGTTATGATGGATTGTATCCAAACCTAGTTTCTTCATTGAACCACATGAATAGAAGCACAATAGCGTTCAAAGAATTATCTACTGATTCGTTCTTCTTCTGACACACTTTAGCATTGAATCGCATAAATTGAATCATGATGAGGGTAAGAAACCACATAAAGATGTAGAGATCCATGAAAAGCAACGTTGGGCAAACAATAAAAATAACAGTTTTGTTTATAAATAAGCTCAAAACGGAGTACATGATAGACAAATAAAGAAAACCCAGGCATATATTAAGGATTGAAGCTTGTACCGTGAGGAATATATTAACAGACTGCTCCAACTTTACGACCCATTTATTTGGATCAGTGGAAGTATCATATGCAGGCTCCCCATTGCTTCCTCCTTTGTTCCCAGACAGGCTCTTGGGTGGGGCTGATTCTTCTATAACCACTTTCTCTTCAGTTTCTTGTATCACAGTTGCTCGAACTCTAAATGTTCCACTCTGTCTGTAAGCATGTTCACATTTTAAAAAAAAAAAACTCTAGAAATTCAAAAAGAAACTTTTTGCAGTTCTGAGTTTCAAATCGAGTTTCAGTCTGACCTAAAGATATAAATTCAAACTTATGATCTTTTCTACTTACCCCATTCTGGTTATTAATTTGATCACATGAATCGCATTGATGAACCCACAAAAATCACATAAGCTGATCCATATAAGAATATCAAATTCACAACAAATGGGTTTTTAATGAATATTAATTCAAGCTACACAGTTGAAAATCGAAAACCTCCTAAGCAATTTATGATATTTTTTATTCTCAGCATCATCATCATAATGAAATAGCAAGTCCAAGATACAAAGAACTTTCTTTTCAGCAAAATTGAAAGGAAAAAAAAAGCTGGAAGCTTTGATACCAGCTATCCGGAATTCGGGTCGGGTCCAGATGATATACCATTATACCCCACGAGAAAGAAAGAAAGAAAGAAAAGTTTACCTTGAACGGAGGGATGATCGAGAAGGACAAAGCGAAGTGCGAAAGGAGCAGATGGAGGTACAGCGGGGTGGGATCTGAGAGCCGCAAAAAGCTTGTGATGAATTCCAATTGCCCTTCGCGGTAAGAGACGGATGGGAATAATCTGAGACTCCGAAAACCACGGAAGACAATGAAGGCGCCGCCATGCTTTTCTCCCCCAAATCTCCCTCCGCCTTGAGGTGGGAAGATTGGACGATGGAGAATTGCAGCGGAAATGGATTCCTCTTTGGGGGTCGTATTCCTGGTTCAAAGAGTGGGCACGGCAAAGCTGTAGATTTATTAGTAGTTAACATTATTAAATACTCCCTCCGTCCACAAATAAACTTTATATTGCGTGTTATAATGTTTGACTGAAGTTATTTTCAAATCATTTTATATAAAAAATGGTGTAGAATTGAAAAATAAAAATTACATATTAAAAAAACTATATCAAAAGATCTACAAAAATAGAGGTGACATGACTATATTAT